TCATTGTTAGTAAATTTTAGTTAATGCATCAACTCATGTTAACTAATGAGACCTTATTGTAAAGTTTTTGAATGTTTAATGAATGGTTAATGTAATAAAAGTTACAGCAAAAATAGCAAATAACAATATACTTGAAAAAGAGGCATTACCATTCAAGTCTAACTTATTCTAGTACAGCCACTTTTTTGTTGTTATTGAATACTGAATGCCCTTTCATGTTGACTTTAAATTACTGCTCTCCTGTGCACATTTCTATGCAGTTGCTAAGGTGTTCTGTGTGGTTGTTAGGGTGATTCTAGTTCTACGGTGCAAGTTGGTGGGATTTTTTTTCCATCTGTTTCATCGTATGCCAGGCAAAATGCCTAAAAAAGTCTGCTTAGGAAAATAACACCGCAACAAGGTGCTTGAGGATTTATTCATGTACAAATGGTGAAGGATGAATTATGCGCCAGAGTTTAATATTTTAGGCTTGGAGTTTGTTAAAATCCCTAACCTTGAGTATGAGGTTCTACTTTCCACATAAACCATCCTGAATAAATGCTTTGCTATAAGTGCACAGACTGTGTTGCATAACAGACATTTGGGGGCTGCTTTTGACAAGGATAAATGATTAAAAGCGATGGACTTAAAACAAGCGTGTAAATATTGAGCTGAGAAACAGCATGCGCACCAAGTGCCTGCCAAACGTTTGTGTAGTAAGCCGTTTTTTCCATAAACTCACCCGTTCAGAAACAGCAGTTTAACTGTGGAAATGGCCCTTTTTCCTGCTGAAGTGGGCAAAATGTGACCTCCTGCTCACCACGGGGCGGCTGTTTGCCCCGCTTCAGATTAAATATGAATTAAAGGACCAGTTTTGGGAGCTGGAAGTTGAAGTACTAGCAACAAAATATATTTGAGGTGAGAACGTGCACTAGTAACCGCATTGACTTGTCTGTCATATTCATCTTCATGCAGGTATTTCAAAAGCATCCATAATCTCCAACAAATAACTTAAATATGATATTTATCTTTGCAAAAAAAAAAGAGCTGATTGACATTGCAAATGTTTGACATCTCAAATGAGCTGTTTGACAGTGTTGAGTGAAGCAGCAAATTGAAAACAAATTAATTGGCTATGGAGTGCTAGCCGCCAATCAAACAGCATCTCATTAGCATAGGCACATTATTTGACCAATGGAAATTAATTCCTTTGAAGGTATATGGAAATGTTGTGTGTGATGAGGTTGAGTAAGACCTGGTTTTCCTCCCAGATCAGTTGTAGGTTGTAGGTAGCTGAAATGTTGGCAGATGTGAAGGTGGTGGTTTCAGTCTGGTTTTGTGTCCTGAACATACAGCTTATTTTCTCACATGTCAGTTTGAGCAGTGTTGCAGTGCAATTAGAGACAGCGTGCTGTCAGCCACCAGCGGGTGAGGACGAAACGTCAACATAAACCAAGACAGAAATGCTTCCCTGTCTACAAAGCTTGAACCTTTTTCCGTTTATTTGTTTTAAGTAACATCTGGGGAACAGTTTATTGTTTGTAAGACTTTAGAGTTAGAAGCATGAAATAAACTTTTCCATTAAGAGCCGATGTTCACTGTCTGCATTTGATTTTCTGCGTTTTTTCTCTTTACTAAGAGAATTCCACTTGGAATCAACCTTTGAGTTAAATACTTCATTTGAATGAATTCATTAAAATAAAATTGGAATAAATTGGAATACATCATCACCGTTTAAATTCAACATATTAAATGAAATAATACTGCGTGTGTAACTCTAAGAACTCTATCAGATGTTCAGATCAGAGGAACAGGGCACATATTAATTAAATTAATAATTTTCATATGTTAATAATAATAATAATAAT